CAGATATAGAGGGAAATGCTGAGAAATCAGAGAGAAGGTGCAAGTCACAGCATACCTTACCTCCTTAGCATCTCAGCAGACAAGAGAGTGATTTCCTGTTTCTCCCTGCTTATATCCTGTTTCTGCCCAGCTACCTCACTTCCTGTCTGTCTGTGCAGATCTCTAGATCTCTATGGTTAGCTAGTGGCAAGCTCCATTCTCTGTATGGAGACCCCCAGTCTTTATTTGTATAAGCAAGATATCACCACAGTTTCTCATTGGCTTTGGGTTTTCCTTAGCCTCTTTGTTTTTGCTCCATCCTGGTTGACTTGGATAAACCCCAGTCATCCCTCAAGTTCCCATGTTAAAGCTTCCCTTGGGAAACTTTTCTGACTAAGCTGTCTCCACCCTTTAGTTCCAGGATATGTGAAATGCTTCTGCGAATGTATTCCAAGTGCTTAACTCATCTTATAATTACTTATTTTATTGTTAATTGCCCAACTAACTCACTGTATTGTAAATACCCTATTTTTTACTGTACTATTTCTAGCACCTAGTGTATAGTACTTAAGTATTTATTGAGTAAACAAGTTAAAAAGACTCTCTAAAAAGGCCTCTATTCTTTTCTTTGAAGAACCAATATTCGGTAGTTCATCTAAAAATAAATAAGATCAGTGGTTAAGCAAATAAATCTATGGTGTGTGTGAAAACCTCACACTTTAAGTTCACATGGTTGATGAACCTCAATTGTGTAAGTGAAACCTTATTTTCCAAAAAAAAAATACACATTGTGAATGGAAGTGTCATAACTTTGGTGCTCATGGCAACAAGCAGTTGTAACAAACAAAATTAGCCACTCCCCCAAATCCACACTAACAAAGCCGTATCTATCTATCCAGATCTTTTCTGTTTAACTCTGCAGTTTTAACAGTTCAATAATTCAACTGCAAATTTGTTAAGACTCATTGCTTGCCAAGTCCATCACATGCTCAGGCTCATTTGCTTGTCTCTCTCTGCTGGGAAATTATTTGTCTGTGTAGTGGCCCAGAAAACATCTTTTTCCCATGTTAATTACTCAAAGATTAAGAAAGGTAAAAGAAGACTTCTGTAACACAGGGTTTGTTTTGTTCCTGGGATTACTCAACAGTGAACACAACAAGTACTTATCCTTGCACATTTTTGCAATGATGTGATTTTATCAGTGATGTGTTTTCTTCACAGATCTCTACGAAACAGAGTGCTAATTGCCATCTTCCTATTCTCATAATGAATAGCTTTGTCTGAACTCCTTTGAATCTATAAATTTTGGATTGTCTGCTGTGTTTTAAAGCACTGTGAAAATTGCCAAGGGACTTTGGTGTGTCCTAGATTTTCACTTCCTTTTGCAAAGTGTGACCCAACTGCCTTGAAATACATTAGGGGAGTGTGTGAGAAGAAATTGGTACCTAAAGCTTGGCAAGCATGGTGTCTTCCCACTAACAACCAAATGGTGCTTTGAGGCTCAATAGCTCACTTGTGTTGAACCTAAACTTTAAAGGCTAAGTTTTTTATTTTTTAAACTAAACAACAACAACAAAGTAGGGGAAGTTGCTTTCTTTTAAAATTACAGTTGCTAGAACCGTGGTTGTATAAATATTTTTATACCATTATAGTAGCCTGCAGCCTACGGAAGAGAAACCTGGATACCAACCCAGTCATAAAATCCTCAACCAGTACTTCGTCCTGACTGCAAGATGTGCTGGAGCAGAGCTTGTAGGAGTGGCCAACCAGTGTTTGGTTTACCTCGAGGCCTATGCTAGGAGCTCACGCCCGACACTGCTTGGACGGCCAGTAATGGAGACTGGATAGCCCAGAGACCTAGAGTAGAGCCAAACACACACACACACACACACACACACACACACACACACACACACACACACACACACACACACACTCAATGAAATGGTTCCTTATGATATTCTGCTATACTCATATACCATTTGTCATCAGAGAGGCTTCCTCTGTCTGCAGATGGTAGCAGGTGCAGAGACCCAACTCCAGATATTATGCATAGAGAGGGAGAGTCTAAATTGAAGGTCTCCATTGTGTCCCTTTCCTCAAAGCTTGGTGAATCCCATGGAAGAAGGGGAGGAAAGAGTGTAGGAGTCAGAGGGGATGGAGGATACCAGGAGAACATGGCCCACACAATCAACTAAGCAGAGCTCACATGGGCTGACAGAGACTGAAGCGTCAAGCACCAGGCCTGCATGAATCTGCATTAGGTTCTCTGTATACTTATTGTTATGGCTCTTAGCTTGGTGCTTTTGTGGGAATACTAACAGTGCGAGGGGGTGTGTCTCTGATTCTTTGCCTGCTCTTCCTGTTGAGTTGCCTTGTCCAGCTTCGATATGAAGGCTTTTGTCTTGTCCTATTGTATCTTGTTTTGCCTTGTTTAGGTTGGTGTAATGTGTTGTCTTCCCGCCAGCTGCCTTGGTTCCACTGCCACTTTAGCCCCCAAATAACACACAGGACACTACATTAATTATGAAGCTGTCAGCTGTTTTTTATGGTTTCTTAGTGGCTAGCTCTGACTTAATTATTAACCCATAATTACTAATACATATTTTATAAGGACTTACCTTACCAAGGACGTAGCCCCATGAGTCCTCTCCCCATGATCACATGGCAACAACTCTCTTCACTACATTTTCCAGAATCCTCTGCGACTCTTAGTCCCACCTGTCTTGCTTCCCTAATGGCCAACAGTGCTATAGTTATCAGCATATACACAGAAGGACTTCCCCCATCAGGTTGGAGTCCTGCTCTTTTCTGAAGAGGAAACCTGAGGGGTAGAGGATCTGGATTAGGGTGGAGTGGGGTGGGGTAGGGTTGAGGGAGTTGGGAGCAATAGAGAGAGGGGGACTGTGGTGGGGATGTACTGTATGAGAGAAGAATCTATTTTCAATAATTTTTTAAAGAAGAAAAGAAAAAGCTAAATACAGGAAAAATAGATGGGCACTACTGGTTTTGATTTGACTGTGGCAAGAAGGCACTGAGGCTGCAGAGGCCCAGGAGGACTCGGAAAGCTGTTTACAGGTAGCAAACAAGCCCTGTTTCCAATGCTCTTTTCAGTTTTGTTTATTTGTATTTCTGACATCTGAAAGTTTCCTCAGGTTCGAATTATTTCTTTTCTAAATCTTTTAAAAGGAAACAAACTGATTTGAGTGAATTTTTATTTTGTAGAGCTGAGGATCAAACCTAAGCTTTCCCCAGCTTCGATGAATTTTTAATTTAAAAATATTACTTCTGCTGCTTACCTTTGATAGTTACTCTATCACATATTAACTGTATTTTTTTAGATAGTGCAGAACTCTTGTCGCTTTATTGTAGTGCTGGCTTTAGGTTTCCCAAGAGCTGAATGAGATACTGACTTGACCATTTGACTGAATCCAGCACTAGGCAGGACCTTCCAAGAAGAGCTATGGGTAGGAGTAACACATTTTCAATAACTCAAGCAGGGGTTCAGGCCAAGAGCAGGGAGAAGAGGAAGAAGCTTAAAGTCTTATTACTTCCAGGGTCACCAGAACTTCCTGATGCTAGCCATCTTTAGGACCAGAGTTCTACCTCATTTTATATGTGTCTAGTTGGCTGCCTGCTGTCCCAACTGTAACCCTGTGTTCAGAAAAGAGGCCCAGTTAGGCTGGGCACTGGTGGCACATGCCTTTAATCCCAGCACTCAGGAGGCAGAGGCAGGCAGATCTCTGTGAGTTCAAGGCCAGTCTGGTCTAAGAGCAGTGCCAAGATAGGCTCCAAAGCTACACAGAGAAACCCTGTCTCAAAAACTGAAAAGAAAAAGAAAAAGAAAAGGCCCGGCTTGAAAGTTACAAAGTCCTGGGGTTAGGGTTAGGGGTGTGCAGCTGAAGCTGACAGTCCTCTGGTCTCTTTCCTACATCTGGAGATAACTAGGAAAAAAGATGACAGGAAAGGAAAGGAAAGAAAAGGGAAGGAAAGGGAAGGGAAGGGAAGGAAAGGAAAGGCTATCATCTGTTTGGGGCCATGTTCCTGTAAGAAAAAGCCTGGAATCTATGGGTTTTTACCCAATACCCAAACTTTTTAGTAAGCCCATCTTTCTGTCAACCAGTGATGGCACAGCAGAAAGAAGGCTGCAGGGGAGAGCTTCAAAGTACAAATCAGGTCCCTGCTAAGGCTCCAGGCATAGTCCTATCCTACTAGCCCGTAGGCCCCAAGTCCAGAATGATCCTGAGGATAATGCCCTAGGATCTGAACAATGTGATGCTCCCATGGTTGAGCCCCACCAGCAAGGTCATCCAGAACTGGGCTCATTTTTGGCACGTTTGAGACAGGATATTAGTCCCAAGTCTGCACACCTGGGGAGGGCAACTACAATAAAAGCCCAGGCATAAGAACTAGGGTGAGACCATGGCATGAAGGGAGGGGGACATGTAACCTATCCTAGGGCGGCTGCAGAAGACCATTTCCAGAGACAGGCAGAAGGGGAAACAAGGAATATTATTTATGGGCAAGGAAGAGGCAGGAAGTGATGGCCTACGACAGAAGCACCAAGGAGCCTCCTCTGGCTCAGCACCAAACTCCCCCAGGGTCTCCCCAATACTGAAAAGCTGCACCCTGAATGTCTGGCCCCAACTAGGAGGTGGGCACTGTAGCATCACAGGCACAAAACCTCTGCTAAAGAAAACAGCACAGCAGCCAGCCCAGAATTTCACCACAGTCATCATCCCAATACATTCCCCAGGAAAAATTCCATCATATGTAGGGTCCAAAGCTTCTAAATGAACTTGGGTGGCACTGGGGGGAAGGCAGAGACAGCAATCTCAGGACATAAGGAGAGCACAGGTCTGCCTTCTGGATAGCTCCATGCAGCCTGATCTACATGATTAGAGTAAGGGTGAGCTGGCTGGCTGCAGGGCCAGAGGAAGCATGGGAAAGACAAAGCCTTCTGAAACAGTGGGTAGAGACCCCAATAGGACCTGGCCCATCCCACAAGGTGCCAGCCCATGCCCGGTGGCTGTAAACCTTAAACAGTCTTAGAGCTGCCTATGTCTGTAAATAAAGCCCCACTTGAATGGAGACATGGTACGATAGAAAGATGCTTGGAGCCACTGGTCTACCCCTGACATGCATGCCAGTGGGAAAGCCTTCCCTGATTAAGGAAAGGGTAGCAGACAAGTTTTAAGTATGTTTTGTCCTCTCACAGAAGAAACAAATCCAAAAGGTAATCTACAAGGTCCACAAAGCTTCACATCCTTATGTCGGGTTTGGCAGCAGGAGTAGTGCAGGGGAATACAGGGTCCAGCTGCCTGAAGCCCCTTAGGCAGAGTGCAGGGGAATGACAAACTTGCAGCCAAAGGGTGAATGGTAGTTGATGCCAACCTCCTGGAAGACCTGATGGGGAATGCCAATGTCACACAAATAGACTTGGCCTGCATGCTCCCCTAGTGGCAGAGGCAGGCCCAGTGCCAAGGACCATTTGGCATCGGTGCCCTGCTCAACTTCATGCACAGGAGGGTCTATGCTGAGCACTGGTGCCCGGTTCTGGTTAGCCCAAGCCACAGCTGCCTTGTACCAGGGCTGATCCCGCAAGAAGGCGTTCTCCGGGCAATCCAGGCAGTTGATAACCAGGTCCACAGGGCTAGTAGGGAGATCTCTTAGGCTAGACATTTGTTGACCTTGGGTCTTGCTGAAGAGAGACAGTTCATTGGTGATAGACTCCAGCATCTTGACAAAGTTGGGCAGGAAAAGGATGACTTGCACATTCTGGTTGGCTAGGTGCCTCCCACAACTGATACCCTGAGCCCCTTTCACATGGGGCCCACACAGCAGGGCTACTGTAGGCCTCTGGTGGACATTCTTAGGATTCAACCTGTTGGGTCTTCCAAGGAGAGTCAGTGCCATCTGGTTGGCACACACACCGGTCATCTCAAGTCTCCGCTCTAAGGTCAGCCCATGCTTCTCAGCCACAGACAACAGCTTAGGATAAGGAAGACAATATATCATCCAAATGTTGGACCTCACTGACCTCCTTCTCCACCCAGGCCTTGTTTCTAATAGTGTATTCAGCCATGAATTCAACCATTGCTGAGCTTAGCTTTCACAATCCAGCTGTTTCTTAGCAGCAGCTGTGACTGGGAGCTAAGCTTTCAGTACATGGATTTTCTGGGGACATTTCATATCTAAACCACAGCACTGAGTCATCTGGGCCTGAATCATCTGGTACAGGCATCAAACACTCACTGTTGGGCCCTTCAAGGAACTGAGGAGTTATAATTGGGAGAGACAGCACTTGTGAGCGGCTAGGACTGGTGTGAGCATAGCTGACCTTCTTGCTTCCATTTTGATGAGAGGCAAATTTAAAAACAAAAATTTTCCCATAATTTAAAATTCAATATATTTTCATTCTTTTCCAACAAAATAAAAACAAATTCAGAGTTCAACTTGCATGTATTAACATGTTCTTCTTTTTTACAATAAGTCTTTTCCTTTGGTAAGTGATTTAATGTTCACTGAAATGGCTCAGGGTAGGAATTAAAAGGGAGGTGAGAAGACATATCCAGGAAGGATAGATTGGAAGCCTGAGGGTGAACAGACTGATTACTGCCTGTGTCAGTACTAAAGGACAAGGCTCAGGTAATCACTCTTGCTGGAGTCAGATTAGGAGCTAGAACAGAACTGTGCAGGCCTCTGTGTGTCCACAGGAGATGCGGAGGCTTCACTCATTGGGGCTGATTCGCTTACAGCCACAGGCAGAGCCTCTGAATATCACCCAGAACTAACTTCCATTGCAGATGCTACAGTAAAGTCATTTGTGTTCCCAGCCATCTGCAAACTGAAGGCAGTGAACCCCAAGTTTCCTTTGAGAAGTTGACATGGACCTCAGTGTAAAGTGATCACTGAGAGTTTGACCTTACTGAAGACAAAACAAAATGGAAAAACTGTAAATTATCCCAAATCACAAGGAAAGTCTATTAGCTTAGTGCTACCCGACACCTTTTTTCACCCTTGGGCAGTAACTAACAGTTTAAAGGTGATTCTGAATCACTAAGAAAAGGTCAAATTTATTAGCATATCTTGTTTAGATTTGGTGTGTGTGTGTGTGTGTGTGTCAGTTTTTAAACTTATTAGAAAGCATTTCCATGGGACTAGTATTCATAAGTATTCAGTTACATGAAAATACAAGCTGTGCAATGCTTTATCGTTTTAACTGTCAATAAAGAAAACACTACATATTGAAGGCAAAATAAAATGAGGAGACCTCAGTGAAATGTAGGCCCTCTGTCTCCCAGGACCAGTGACCCCTCACCGCTGGACTGGAGTTGCCTTGTGGATACCAACTGCAAGACAAAGCTGGGTCTTGCAGACATTCTGTAGTCCTGACTGCTGGCACAGAGCCATCACAAGCTTCAGTGTGGCCCCAAGGGGTGCATATATTAATGAAGAAACACAATCCATGCTCCAAAATGGCTTATTTAAAATGCAAAGGGTAACAAGAGAGCTACATCTGGGGGAAGCACAGCTCTCAGGAACAGGAATGTAACCCAGAGTCTTGGTTAAAGCTGCTTGCTCTTGAACTAATTAGTTGGGGGTTGAATTCAGCATGAGAAGTCAGAATGTGGTTATGAGTGAAGAAGAGCGGAGTTTTTTCTTTTAGGTAATACCCTGCCACTTCAGAATGCAGTAGCAGGCAGCTCATGAGACTCATCCAGCTCAATGATATCATAAAATTACATAAAAAAACCACCATGGCTGATTGAAGCAGGATTGCAGGCATGTAATTAGGGCCAGATGCCTGATAAAAGGCAGTTATGTCTGCGTTGGTGGTGATCTCTTTGTAATAAGATATTGGCACATTTGTCATTAAGGGAAAATAAAGATGAATGAATAACGCAGAATTCAGTGGAATAGTCAGTAAAAACCGCTCCTACCATGTATGAAACCCTATCCTTATCTAGCATTTATATGCTATTCTTTTCTTTCAAATCTTTTCTGTTTTTCTAAGTTGGGAGGCTTGTGGGAAAATTATACATAAAAGAAAGAAGCCAAAGGCTTAAAAAAAGTTACTTGCTTTTGTTTTACTTTGTGAGTCTTTAAGAAAGTTGTATGGTTATAATAAAGTCCTATTTACTACTGAAGCTGTCTCTTATAGGATGTGAGTCCTTGACAGAGCATGCCTGCATGCAGTGTTACTTTACTTCTTAACAGGCCTGAGCTGGATTCTAAAAGTTCATGCCTAATTAGCTGTGTAAACAAATTTGGAATTTAGGGAATTTTTCTATGTCATAGAGGCTCCCTTCCCCTCCCTTCCCCCTCCCTTCCTGCCACCCCCTCCCTCCCCCTCCTCTCCCCCTCCCTTTCTACATCCCTCCCCCTCCCTCCCCCTCCCCTCTCTCTTCCTTCCTGCCACCCCCTCCCTCTCTCCCTCCCTCCCTCTCTCCCCCTCCCTCTCCCTCCCTTACCCTCTCTCCCCTCCCTCCCCCTCCCTCTATTAGATGCATTGCCCACACCCTAAATCTGGAATGAATACCATGTAGTGGCTTTCTCTTGGAGCTGGCACTGCACACCCTCTGTAAATTCTACTACAGCATTGGGGTTGAGAAGGGGGAGGGCTATTTCAGAGAAAGTGCTACTGCCCACAAAGTGCCAGCAACAGGTTCTCCGGCATTGCCTGGATAAAAACCAGCTGTTATGTAAGATTGCTGTGCCCAGATCCCTGCCAACCTTGAGGATTCTGAAGATGAGATGCCCTCCTAGTCAGCTGCAGAATGAAAGGGGTGGCAGAGATGGTGCCAACTCAAGGATTTGAAGGAAAACGCACCAATTGGGTATGGGCACCCAGGGCAGGCAGCACTCACCTCAGCATGGGGCTACAGTCCCTTTGAAGCTACTTAGGCACAGGGCAGGTCACCTGCAGGGGCCTCATCTTCTCTGGCTGACACTTAAATGGCAGGCTCAATTGATACTGTTCCAGGGGCCCCGCTGGGTGTTTCTAATCTGGTGTTTTAATTAATGTTTTTATTGTACTTCAGCCCAGAGGCTGTTTCAACAGACCGGCATATATTTAGATGTCTCTGAATAAATAAATGTAAAACAAAGAAAACTGACTCTGCTGGAATCATGAGGATTGTTCCAGACTTGAAAGATAGTGTCTGCCTGAAATTAAGCCCTTAACAGCATGGATGGTCAGAAGCCTACCCGGTGTCACAGAGGTCAAACATCAGGTGCCATTCCATGACTGCTCAGGTCTAAAAGTCTGCTGTCTGGGTCTTAAGGTGCTTGGAGACATTAGAACTGTGTCAAGTTTGACGTTTATAAAAAATTAACAAATGAATAGTAGGGAACAGTTGCTTGGACCTGGGTAGATCTCCTGTTGCCAGATAGAAGAGGACATTGGAATGGGCTGGTGTCTCTGTCCCCCATATTTTTTCTCTAGTTTGACCTTTCCTTTAAGAGGAGTGTGCATATCTCTGAAGCACTGGCAGTCAAGTGTGTGTGTGTGTGTGTGTGTGTGTGTGTGTGTGTGTGTGTGTGTGTGTGTGCCTGAGTGCACGTGAGTGTGTATTATTCATTTCCCTGGGCAGGGCTCATGGAACATCTTCTTTGTGGTAACATTTGGAACATCTTCTTTGGTCACTCTTTACCTTATATTTTCGAGACAGTGTCTCCTACAAACTTGGAGCTTTTGCATAGTGAGTCCCCAGACTTCCTATCTCAGTCTTTAGTGCTGGGCTTATAGGTGTCTGCTAGGACAGGTGAGGCTTGGGACTCAAGTTCAAGTCCTCACGCTTTCAAGGGAAGCTCTTTTCCTAGCTTTGCAGGAATTTTATCCAACTTAGCAAATACGGAGCACGTTTTCATTCGAGCAGGAGCTGGACTTGTATAAGGGGATGGCGTGTCTATACGCATTGGGAAATACATCTTTAAGACACATATCTTGCTTTTGAACATGCGCTGTATTTGGAGTAGGTGAAAACATACTGTTTTTGCCAGGGTATCAGCAAGTTGATTTGTAATAGTAGAGGAGGCCTGGTCCTGGGCAGATGAGCAAAGTTCTGGAATCTCTTTTCTATTAGTACTTTTTAGCTGTCTTTCCTTAATAGTGGCACCTATTTATTTACTGATTTCTTCCCTGTTCTCAATCTCAACTTCAAAGGGCCCTAAATGAGCTGTTCTTGATTCCACTGATTATGGCCTTAAAACACCGCTGATACCTGGAACACACGCCAAAATCAATGAAAAGTAACAGGGTGACTGCATGCTGGAGCTGAGGCTGAGGCCAAGGCTCTTTCAGGACTCCTCTTCTGTATGCAAGCATGCGTGTGTATTCGTGAGAAGTTACCTGTTTATATGGCACTAGTTCCTTGGTTTCAAGAACCCACTAATTTTTAAAGATAAACTATAGGATTAACCACAGCATTTATAATTAAAAAAGAGAATAAGGAAAATTATCATATTAAAGTACATGTTAATTTTAGGTCATGCCATGGTTTCAGAAACAGTAAAATGTGGAAATCATGTAAATAAACTGTAATATGTATATTGCCCAAAACAATTTGCATCACAGCAGAGGATACTTTTAAAATCAAAGTCCTGGGCTGGAGAGATGGCCCAGGTGTAAGGACAGTTTTCTGCTCTACTTGAGGGCATGGGTTCTGTTCCCAATTTCCATATCAGATGGCTCACAACTGCCTGTAACTCCAGTTCCAGGGCATCCAAAACTCTCTTCTAGCTTCTTCAGGCACCCCCACACAAGAGGAGCACATAAAATTATTGAGGAACACACACACACACACACACACACACACACACATCTTTAAAATCAAACATTGCAAAAATTTCAAAAATTCAATGGGTGTTGTACTAGGGCAGGGTTATGCATCCTGGCACTATTGACATTTGTGGCAGGATGGTTCCTTGTTGTGGGCACCTGTGTGTGTGTGGTAGGATCTTCAGCAACTTTCTGGACTCTATTTACTAGATGCTGGCAACATTTGTGTCACCCT